GGACTTCCTGTTCTTGCGAAGTAATATCGCTGACAGCTGAAAGCAATTACGTCATGTCAAATCAGAAAATCGTCATATCAGGTTGCTTCTTTCATTACAAAGACGCTTAAAGCGGTCAAAGTTTTGCTTGCGATGTTCCAACAACCACCGACCGACCGACGCGGTCCATAAGGACCAAGGGCGTTGCCGATCAGAGACATACCGCTTGTAATTGGTAACAGATTTGTTTTTGTTCCTCAATTGCCAGATTAATGTTGCTATCGTTTTGTTCAATCGTTGGCTGTCAAGTGCTCTAAATGTCTTTTGTAAGCGATGTCAATCTGATACAGCAAAACCAAACACAATTAAAGCCTCTTTCTGTAACAAAATCCTGAATGTGCCGACGCGTTCAAATGGCTTGTGAAATGGGGCCGTGGAGTGCCTTTAACAAGCGTACGCAGAGCATATGATGTGTTTGCATTCTTCCAAACTTTTGAGAGTGTGACTCAATTACTTCTTAGCTACGGCTGTAAGCAGACCTATACAGTATTGGGACGAATAGGGCTTGCAGGCAACATACACTAAATAAGTAGGTACTCTAACAGCTTTTGCAATAACCACTCACTCCATATGCGTGTATATCCCGTCTGCTTCAGCTATTTGTAGGTTACTTTTGAACATCGTTGCACACGTCAATGGCATCCTGAACCTGACACATGACGCATGACGTTCAGACTCGTCAAAATAGAATATTTAAGTTGCGACGAAGTGTATCGGGACTGATGTCAGCAAGTTGAATCATATTGACAGCTCTCTTCCAAAAACGCTGGAGCCACTTTGCGACAATGTAAAAGAAACACGGGAATATCCAATAAATCTATATAAACTGCAGTAAAGACCGTCAAGAGGTGAAGTGCTTTTTGACGCAGACTCAATCAGAGGGATTGTCACGCTCGAAAACTGCGGTCTAATCGCATAAACGCTCTAATAAATAATTCACCTCGTGACAGCGCGTTTGTCGGATCAACTGTTTTTAGGATGGCCAGCAGCGGGTATGTCCAATCAGAGGTCGAGAATCTTGAAAAAGTTCACGAAATCATTGTTGTAAAGCACTGAGAAATACCTGTCGTAGTGATCACCGTCATGTCAATCTTGTCCGAGCAATAGATTGGCTAAATCTTTACCAGTCACAGTTTTTGGTGACAGCAGCGGGATGAACCATCTAGCTCAGACGGTTCTCAAAGATCATAATGCAGGTATTTAGGTACGTCTTTTGGACGATCAAAGCTGAAGTAAATCTTTAAGGACTGACGTCACTCTCAATAGCAACGCATGTTGCGAGGGGTTGACCTGTCGGCACATTTGACACATGAAGACATAAATATCAGATAACCAATGCATAGCAAATACTAAATTGCATTTTTATTTATCAAAGACACACTGTGTATCAACACAGGTCAGTGCCTCAATAAGGCAAGCCTTAAGACAGCGATATGCGGTGAGACGTGCACACAGACACTTTGATAAAGCAACAACCGGATATCATCTAAGATTTCCAACAAGGCAACACATATTAAATCCACTTCTTGCGGCGTACATATCGCATCATCAGTGCTAGGTGGCGCCATCGCAACAATTTTTTGTTGGGGTGACGCAAAAGTGGATCCACCGCAAGCGAATCCCTCAAAATTACCTCGAAGTTACACCTGGCAAATGGGATAGGAAGTTGCTTTTTCTGTGATAGATAGTGACGACGACGCTCTGCACAATGGTTGATATTCTGTATCGTGAGTAGCCTGGCGCCAAATTGGTGTACTCGGAACCAGCAAGAGCATTCTTGATATTAAAGAAAATTTGTGTCGTCGTTTCTACACTACCACCATGTAGATTTTCCCAAATCCGGTGTCGCTTTCATGTCGATCGATACATGCTCGTAGAAATACACAGCTTATGGCAAAGGCAAGGCAAAAGCGTCACATTCGCTATGACTTGGCCAATTCAGATTTGGAAGGGCTAATATTGAGGCACCCGTGTGGCTTTCTCGATAAAATCTTGAACGCCGTCTCTTCTGTCACACTTTTCCACTGTTCTATTTTGTGTGAAAGAATGTTTCCAGTCAGTTAGATTTGCATTGCACTTGTGTAAGTAGTCCGGGGGCCAAGTCAATCAATTTTGATCCTTTTGGAAACCGGCCAGCAATCTATACGGTCTTCTGGGATCTTCCCGCACCATGCTTTCAGCTAAGCTATCCTAGTAAGAAAGCTTCGACGACTTAGAATGTACTTGTCGATAATATCAAATTTCCTGTGCAAATGCATACACCCGAGCGCAGCTCGAAACTGAGAAATATATAATCTGGACTCTACACAAATGAATCGTTGAAATAGATTCGAGTGCAGGCACGATTCGCCCTAAACAGATGCACCACCAGAGCATTGAGACTCAGCAAAGCAACAACTAGACCCTGGGATATAATCAGCAGTCTCACAGAGCATACCTCCCAGAGCACGCACTGTATAAAGAGTGGTGTCACTATCTTTCAAAACAGTTAGGGATTTCCAAAACCGGGTAAAGAGCAATGAGAGCGGGGCAATGAAGACGAGGCAATTGACCATGCTATTCGATATCACGTCGCTCTAGGAGTCGGACCTTTGTCGAAATAAGGGTTGTATTCCAGCAGATTGTAAGCACGCGCGACGTTTTGCTAGTCGATATTTTACACTGAGATTAACGGCACCTATTTGGGCTCTTTTATTAAATCCGAATCGTGCTTCGCACGAAAGAACGAGTCTATGACATTGCTATTTCCTTGGTAAGGGCCAGATCAATTTCATGACAATTTTCTAATTTGGGGGCAGCAGCCGTGGTGAGCCTCTCGTCATCACATTGTCATAAGTTGTCAAAATTACAAAATGTGGTACAGAAGCCATCCTACGATACAGATTTAATGCTCGGCGAGAATTTAAAATAAAGCTCATCTATAAGAGGATATGGGCTTAGCTCTTTCCTTCATTTCAGATATGCCAATTTGGCGCCTTGCAATTTGTTATAACACTTTCATGACGTGATTCTGCGGGTTTCATGAGATCTTTCGCCGTAAGTAATGATAAAAGGATTATAGAATCAGAGAAACCAATAGCTTTCCGATTCATGGGTTATAAAAACCTTTCTCGTCGGACTTTATAATTTTTCATGGCAAGTGCGTCACGCAGTCATGCCGACTCATCAGTGTATTTGAATTATGCTAAAGATAGACCATCCGTAGTAAATTTAGGCTCTGCCCGTCTACGTGCAACTTACACGAGCATTCTTACCGGCTCTGGCACAGAAGGCCGCGTCACACAGTCTCTCTTGATACGCTTCATTGGATCTAGTAGAGGAGGCCCATAGCTGCGATCAGACGTCCAATTAGCGGTCCGCTCTGAAGGCCACGACTTGCGATGGTTGATTCCTATTTCAACAGAGGTAAATTATGAAAACTGCTATGTTCAATCGCTGTATCATCTTGAGAACGCGGTTCACCAGCACTTTTGCCCTCCCAGCTTTGACCATGATGCTCAGCAACATCGTCACCGATCAACTCAGACTGTATATGCTTTGCGCTTAGCTATCGCACGCGATGAAGATCACTTTTGCTTGCCTCACAAAATTCTCCACCTGGTGAATAGATCGTGACAAATGTCTTTGACTTGGCCTCCATGCGACTACTGAGACTTGACGTCCTCGGTATGCTGGTCGACCATGCATTGAGTTCCAGCCTATCATTTTTATAAATTTTGAAAAATATAAGCATTCTGGGCGCAAGTGTTTGGTACTGCCACAAATGTAGCAACTTCTAATTCGCTATGCTGCTCGACATCTCCAAAACTACTCTCTTACTCCTCATGTCTACATGTGATGTCTATCGCATGGTGGTCAGCATCCGCCTCTGATACCCTGACGGTTTATCGCAATACAGAAGTTGTGCTCGCACACTAACCGCGCTTATTAAGCTGATAAAGAGATATGAGGGGTCTTGGGGTTTAAGCCAACCTGTCCAGAGACCTCCCATGATGGTTATACTGTACATACCTCTTAATGAGAGTCTACCGATATGACGAAAGTGAGATTTCTGAGCTCTTGCACCAAGTCGCATATTATTGACTCGCTTTATTGGTGGACAAGAATATGAATCGCACACGGGATGCCTGACCAGACGACGCGAACAATAACGACACCAATCGCTCCACATTTTCTAAAAACGGAATGCTTGTTATACAGAAAGATCGCACGCTGGTGCACGTTTTCGCACACAGCTCTTTGCTAAGAGACCGGTAGCGCAAGACGCTGACAATTTGTTGAGAACATGGCCATATTCATCGCTATTTTAAACTCTCCTGTCCTGAGTTAGATACCTTTTCAGTTCCTACCCTCGAAGAGCATAACATAAACGACTTCACAATGGAACACGGCACTTACGCATGGTTAATCGCTCCTGAGATTTGTCTTTAAGGCATTTTTCTAGCTGGTGTGAGCCTCGAGGCATATCGTCACGGTCCTCGAGCCATCATTTTCGCATTTGCCGCTCTACCAATAAGAAACAAAGTTTATTTAGCGCATTTATTGTCTCTAGGGCAAAGGGACGAACTCTAACCTTTTCTGGAAAATAGTCTCGTCGTGACTTGGTCGTCAAATCGGCTATTCTTGCGTTCAAGTGCAATAAAATTGGATTGGCATGAAAGGTAACCCGACGAGTCTGTTTTGATATGTACATATAGAATGGGTTTGTAGGGGCAGAATTGAAACGAACTGATGTGACTAGTGCTTATTTGCTCTTCTAAATTTCAAGTGTGACATATACATATTAAAAAGATTACTAATTACATTTGTTTCATTTTGTCAATGATAAAAACAAAGGTTTTGCACTGCGTGAGACAAGCAAATAACGTTTCCATGGATCTTTCCTTATCAAAGTCTTTTATACTAGTACTAATCAGAACACGTCATCACGGTACTTTACCGTTGCGCATATAAGTCTTGCTTCGATTCGAGGATCAACAGCAACTTGAGCGTTAGGTGTATATTAAAATGTAACTCTACGTTCGTCATTACACTATCATTAGAAAACGACGTATTTGGTTACACTAATAAAAGCGGCTTCTTTACTGGTGCTCGCCCCCGGCAAAACCGCTAAGCCGCTGCAAATGATGATGAACTCCTTGAGGGATGGGTGCAGCGGCACCAAAACTTTCTCCGCTGTCTACCTTAGGAAATGGGCGTGCGCGTTGAGCGCCATCTTAGCAGAAATGGGTGCAGCGGCACCGGAAACTTTCTTTGCTGATACCTTACAGCGAAGCCACAAAGAAGAGGACGTGCGCGTTGAGCGCCACCTTGCCAAACTCAAGGCGCAACGCCGACTTCCTGTGTATTCTCGCCCTGTGACATATGAAACATCCCATTCGCTTCCGCGAGCTCTGTCGTTTCTCACACGGGTGAGTCTACGACCACAGCAGCTCAGAGCCATAGCTTGAGCTCAGATCATGGCCCTCCGACTTCATAGGCTACTGACGAGAAGCGGAAGGCGCACAACGACGCGAAGTATCATGATCCTTCCGAATATAAGCGTCTACTACGTCTGACTATCTTGCCGAAGTGGCACCTCAGACTCCCACGAGTTCTCGGAGTATGAGTATTCCAGCCACTTTACCAGATATCGACTTAAACCCCGTCAATGGCGTCGACCCACAAAGTGTTCCATGTGGTAGTGGACGCCACCATTCTCATCAAGAAGTGATGGCGGCGGACGATGAAGACTTGGTCGATCGCTGTCCGGTGACTACCGATGCTCTTCGAGTGTTGGAGGACAATGTCCATTGCAATTAGCACTCTGCTGAGCATCTCTCCGAGGTTGCCTACCGCTGTGTGGAAAACCTCGAGAGCCTGGAGCACTTTGTGCACGGACTGCCTCGCGCTGAGAATTATCATGCCCTGGCAGAGCGGCTACTTGCCGTCGAGCAGGCAAATACGTCAATTCGTACGACAGTAGAGCGCCTTGTGCCGTTGGAGCGGAAATTGTTGCACTCCGTGCTCAGAACCGTCGTTGGTTCAACATCTGAGTGCCCGAGCGCTTTTGGGCGCCGCCCCGGCGCCAACGCACTAGCGGCGGATCCCCTACGGTACGGCCTAAGCAAGTTCACATATGGATGCGCATCCTTCTCGGAAGGTTTAGCGTATACGCAAGGTATCTCTTGGACACGGCCTAAAAAGGTGCAATAAACCGTGGACGGACCTTTGTCTTAAAGACAGCAGAGACTGCATGTGCAGGTAGGTTTTTAGCATTTAATTGAACAAGGTCCCCGGCCTCAAATTTTCCACATTTCTACTCCTTCTTTCTGCATGGCTTGGCTTTCAGCCATCGCACCGCAAACGTGTCGTAGGACACTTCGTCTAGTAGGAAGGAAGTCATCGACTTCTTTACGGACAGTGAGAGGGCTGATATACGCTAGCCGTTCGGCAGTTCCTCCGCCACCAATCCCTAATCCATAGTATGGCAGCGTCAGCGGGACACGAGGATGTACCAGCCCGTTCACGTAGAACGGCGTATAGCCGGTAGATGAATGCACTGCATTGTTCTGGATAAGCCCTAAGAGTGGCAGCATGGAGCTCCAGAGCTTCGGCGTCAGCGTAGACGCTGCGAAGAACGTCTTCAACGACGCGATTCACGCACTCAGTTTGACCATCGGTCTGCGGATGGTCCGCTGTTGACTTAGTCAACTTGGTAGAGCACCCTGGAGATTGTAAACCGAAACTCCATGTGAAGCGAGGGTCTCTGTCAGAGACAATTGACACCGGGAGTCCTCCATATTGTCGAAAGACACGATCGACAAACAGCGTCGCTATACCCACACCATCGATGGTGTCCGGCACTGCCGCAAGATGATCCATCTTGCTCAAACGGTCCACAGAGACCATCACACTCGTGTTGCCCGCCAAGTCCTTCGGAAGGCCAAACACAAAGTCCATGCTCATGGACTGCCAACACCCGGAGAGTATCGGTAAACTGGCCAGCGGCGCCAACGCATTCGGAAAGGGTTTCACCTTTTGACACGTCTTACACGCGCGTACATGGGCTCGTCCATTTGTAAAGCTTAAGCCACCAATAGTGGCAACTCACCGTGCTGTACGTCTTCTCACGACCGTGATGGACGCGGAGTGGGGTGTCGTGGCTCTCATAAAAATTACGGTATTTTAAGTCTTCATCGTGAGGAGCCACCATTTGTGGTTTATTTGTCAAATCGGTGCTATAATACAGCAACCCGTTATTCAACGAATGTCGGTGCAACCGTGCGAGCAAACGCGCCGACAATTTCTTGTCTGAGTTTCCAAACTCCTTGCTCCTGAGAGCCTGTAGCAGCGCTACACAGAGCATCCCACTCGGAGTACTCACCGCTGTCAGCGGAATATCACTCGCTTTCATGAGCAATTGGTAATAACCATCGGCGAAGTCGAGTGTGCTGTGCTTTGTACAACCAACCATATTGTTGTAAAGAATATCCTATCCAGAAATCGGTGTCTGGGCCGGAATCGTGGCAGCATTTAGCTTATTATCAACACGGACGATACACTTGCCGTTCGGCTTTCGGACACAAAACATGGGTGTCGAATGGGGAGTATTGCCTCCATGCACCATTCCTGCAATTTGGTTTCGACAATAGGCGCCAACGACGTCTTACTACTCCGTGGGCAGGGGCCACCGGCGTGTTACGCAGTATTCGATTTCCGGAACCAGGACAAATGCATGATGCACACCTCGGTCCGGAGGTACGACCAACGGCGAGTCTTTGAAGACGACGTCTTGAAATTCCTTTACAAAAGGATAATCAGAATTCGATGGATTCTTCAGAATCGATGATTCAATCAGCATCCTCTTAGTGTCCTCCAGGACAGCTTCATCCAGAAACGATGATAAGTTTATCTCTCGTTCGGTCCTACAATGACCACCTCGGCTGGATTGCCTGCCTTTAAGGCACCGCTAAACTCTTCAAATGTGCAGCGGGGCTGCGGTAATTTGCGCTTAGAGGAAGCGTAATATAGGTCACTGACCTTTCGCTCATCACAAGAACCAGTTCGAGTGTAGCGGGTTGCAATCCGCTACCTCCAAAAGTAGTTAGAACCTTAACACAAGGCTAATGAACTCTTCTGTTTAAAACGTAAAACTGTATCTATTTGTTCTATCTGCGGCAAAGCCGCCTAATTTTAAATGTATAGATTTTCCTAAATATATAGTAAA